TCCCCAGGTCGCCCAGGGCCTTTCTGTGTGGAGTTCGCATGTTTCTCCCTGTGTCTGGATGGGTTTCCTCCGGGTGCTCCGGTTTCCCCCATCAACCCAAAACATGCTACAGGTCTCCAGAACAGTTGATAGTTTAGGTCAGTTAAATACAATCAATCAATGAACCTGTCCAGGGACGACAGGTGGAAATTAGCACTGATGCTACAACCTGATATACAATGCATCTCTCCTGTCAAGGTTAATGCGAAAATTGTGCGCTGTCCCCGTCTCAAATAAATAAATACCAAAATTTAAATGAGAAAATATCATTGTATTCATGTAGGTTTTGACTGCTTGGGTTGTCAGTGAGTTTCTTATACACCTGAAATTAAATAAATTGTGTTTTAATGTATGACAAATCTTTTTTTTTTTAAATATGTTGCTTGAACTTTAGTTTTGAATTTAAATTATGCCAAGGTATCTGAATTCATTGACATTTTTTGGAATTTCCCCCTTAAATTTAACTTGGGGGGTAGGTTTTATGTTTTTGTTTTAATGAGAAAAATACCATTGCAGTTTTGTTTTGTTTTGTTTAAGATTTATTGTTAAATAAGAATCATTCAACCATGTAGAAATTTTGTCAATTACCACTGACAATTTGGCTGCCACTTGCTCAGGGTCCTTCCCATCTGTGTAGATGACAGTGTTATCAATGTATATCTGTACACCTATATCATAACACATTGATGGGAGCTCATTAAAATATAGACTGAACAGAAGTGGCCCCAGGATAGAGCCTTGTGGCACTCCCATAGTGCACACTCCCGGTTGTGACACTGCACCATTTACATGGTCACACTGAGAGTGTCCACCTAGGTAAGATCTTATCCAACTCAAGGTATCCATGGACAGTTTATACTGTGTCAGCTTAGATAATACCACCATGTGATTCACTGTGTGAAAAACCTTGCGCAGGTCTAAAAATACAGCATCCACCACCTTCCCTGTATCTAGGCTTGATTTGATAGATTCCAAAAGATAACAGCATGCTGTCTCCGTACAATGATTATTTTTGAAGCCGAACTGTCTTGAGTGCAGAAGGGCATTTTGTTCAAGGCTTGTTGTTAACTGCTCAAAAACGACTTTCTACAGCCTTTAAGAAAATGGGGAGTATGCTTATTGGCCTGTAATTTTTTACAACTTTTTTATCTCTTGATTTAAAAATTGGAATTACAGTAGCCTCTTTTAATGTACTGGGAACAGTATATTCATTAAATGAAGTAGTTATAATCTGGGTAATTGGAAATGCTAAACAAAGTTTGTATTTTTTCAGAAGTATAGTATCAAGTCCGTGGATATCCTTGGATTCAGAATCTGATAAATATTATGTTTATTTGTGGGGTTAAAGTTAAGAGAACTTGCAGTGCATGTTAAAATTTCACAAGGATGTTCTTAAAAAAATCTTAATTCTTTGACAGAATTTAAAAAGTAACCTGCAATAATCACAATATCATGTTGATCTTCTCCTTGGATTGTTAAATTTAATGTCTCATTTGCTAATTAAGTCTTAAGAATTAAGAAAGTGTATCTACATTTTTTTCCATAGAACTCTATTATTACCCTTTGTTTCTTTTATTATCTACAAAATAAATAAATGAATAGCTTTAGCAGCTCTCAATTGTAAGTTAACCTTATTTGTCAAATTTGTATATATAAAGGTGACTTGTTAAGAGGCCTGATTTCAAATACTTTTTTAGAGCAATATCTCTTTTCTTCATCAGAAGTCAAATAAATTGCTAAACCATGGCAAATTTAGCTTTTTAAATTTTCCGGATGATATTGTTTTACTATAAAACGTGATTTGATCTTTGTCATCACATTTTCATAGACCTCTTCACAAAAAATAATCTCTGTCCAGTTTGTTTCCACAATCTCATGTTCAAACTAGAAAAGCACTCAGAGAGCGCAGACCTCCGCCAAGGACTACCCCCATTTTTAATATAAATTGCGATAAAATCAGTCTTCTGGATCAGATCCGGATCAGCCTTTGGAATATGAAAGAGGATCCCATTGTCCATCCCTGAGTCAAATTTCATGGGGTTTGGTCAATAATTAACCGAGATATTGAGAAACAAAATTTTTGGCCCCATTTACCACAATGTTAACTAAAATTTCAAAGTGATCCAGAATCCAGGATTTCTTCCAGATCACCCCCAAAATGAAATCAGTTCTTCCTTTTCACATTTCCAACAAATCCTGAAAATTTCATCAAAATCGGTCCATAACTTTTTGAGTTATGTTCCTAACAGACAAACAAACAAACAAACAAACAGACAAACGCCGGCAAAACATAACCTCCTTGGCGGAGGTAACAAAGTTAAATTTTTGCAGGGTACACATGTTATCGTTTTTTTGTTACCCATATTATGTTTGTTCTTAGATATTAAGATATTATATATTGATATTTTAGGTAATCTTCATGCAATTAAAGTTAAATTATGACAAACCTGTTACGAAATTATAGTTTTTCCTTATACAATGTGGTTTATTTGTTGGGTGGTCTGTAGAGAGCAATCAGACAGAAAGAGGTACAAGAGTGATTTAAACTCCAACACATTCTAGAGAGTTTTCTTGAATGTAAAGTTCTTTTACATAAATCAAGACACCCCCTCCTCTATCACATGCTCTATCACACCTGTAAAACATATCCTGCAATATGAAATACTCCTGCAGGTGTTGTTGGCATTAACCATGTTTCTGACAGACATAGATAATCTAGATTAGAATTTGTCAGTAACTGTTCAGTTTGTTCTGATTTAGAAATTAAACTTCTTATATTTATATGCCTACCAAAGAGACCTTTAGGCTTTACAGTTTGATCTCATATGACCTTTGCATGATCCACAGTTTGTAACATTTTTGTTGCTTATTGTTTTTCTACAACATTTAAGCAAAAGCAAAGATGATATTTTAATGAATAAAATCAATTCTCCAAAGGTTGGTAGGTCACTGTGCTGCTGTTACTTTGGAAATATCTACTTTTTGGGGAACAGTTGCATTTATCTCAGAGGAGTATAACACAGTCTCACAAGGGAAATAAAATAAAAGACAAAGAAACTCAGAGGTCCCTGAAGCAATCCAGAACCTTTGAGCAGCAGCAGCAGCAGTAGCCCAGTGCCTGGGCACTGTGCAGAGTGAGACATCAGGGAGGTGAACACACAACACTGACACTGTCCATTAGCATCACACTCTCACACTCGTCCACTCACATCAGCTCAGCTACAAGACACAGTAGGAACACAGCATTTGACAACAAACTTTACATTTCTTCTCAATGTGAAAGGAGTAGTTGTAGAATAATGCAAAATGCATAAGCCAGTGGGCATTTTGAATCTGAGCTCCTATGAGTGCACATATCTAAGTAGACTGAGAAACATTGATAGTAAAAGCAGGTACTAGCAGTTTTGCCATCGGATTTGTCTTTTGAGAGAAAACCAATGAGCCAATTCTGTCTGTGAGTGATGGCTCTGTCTGGGAAATAGCAGCTGTGCCTCATTTTAAATGAATGATAGGGGGCAGGATTAGTCTGCCCATGATGTAGTCGGAAATACTTCTTTTTGTGCTTTGTGCTATAGGCTGAGCTGACCTCGGCAACAAGAGCCACCTTCTTAAAATGCGAGCCTACAGGTTGGACTGTGCCCAGCTGCAGACCTGATTTACATGCATCTTCCAGCGGAACAGAAACTGACACTTTAGCCTCAACAAAGTGCATCAGGACTGCTTGACAGCTCCAAGCACTGCTCCACATGCATAAAGTGCCTGATCCAGGAATGCTCTAACTATAACATGCTTCTGTAAATATAAATAAAAACGAATAAATCCACACATTATCTTCAGCTCAAAATCTCAATTCTTTCATTTTTTGCACTAACTTTTTTTTTTTTTTTGGCTGTGCCAGTTTGACTGCAGCAGATGGCAAACGTGTCACAACGTTTCTCTGGCGCTAAAGCATTTCAGCACTAGTCTGAAGGTTTTACTGAATTCAAAACAAAGCAAAGTAACAGTACGCCTAATTCACATTTTTTTGTATAACAAAAACAAACGAGTAGCCTATAAATTGTCAAAGAAATATAAAGTATCTCCCGGAATATCTATCTTACATTAGGATTTAATTTGGCGCCATCATGGGATGGGAGAACAGGCCAAAAAAGTTGCGGCAGGGACCACGGCCATAAACACATTACAATTTCTCAGATAACTGTCGAATCCTCAGAAATACCCGGATCCCCAAACTCTGATCTATTGATTGGACTTTCCTCAAACTGCGAGCGCCGCTATGTCTTTTGAGACCCAACTGTACCTTTATCCATCCCGTTCTTGTAAGAGGTTGGGTGGAAATGACCTCAACGTACGCATGGATGCAGTTGTACAATTACAATTAATAGTACAACTAAGTAGGCGCAATAAGGTAAACTAGAGATAGGTTGCATAAGAGCTGACTTACTTCAATTAGAAGCCGATGTTTCACCACCAAACAGATGCGTCTTTAGGGCTCGTTTAACCAAATTTAACGCTTGGTTCCAAATTTTTGGGCCTACCCCACGGAATTCGCCTTAGTGTGTGCAATATAAATAGTACAACAGCACCACCTAGTGGTTGATAGCTTAAAGAAAAAAGAAAAAAAAACTTTTATGACATGCACATTTGAAAATAAAATGTTAAACTAGCCTGTATCCGAAGAAATGTGGCTTATTTATAACTAGTTATCACTAAAATAGCCTAACTTAAATCACATACATTACAATGCCAACTCTCTTTCCAAAGCCATGGCGCACAGAGGACTAGTTTGTGGAGTATGAGGTGGCACGGCAGCTGCATGACTAAAGTTAATACTATACACACATACACACATACTGGACATTCTTCATGGATAATGAGTTGTATGCTATACTATGGAAGCCAAAGGAACATTTCTATGTAAGTTAAGGTACAAGTTTTCTGTGCAATAAAAACACCCAAAATAAATGTAAAAACATGTTTTTATTTTAAGTTACACATTGTGGCTTTATCCTTTTTTACATAAACATATTTAGCATTTTCCCCCTTTACTAATATTCTTATTTGTAAGTACTCTCTAGAAATGTGTTTTTGAAGTTTGTCAGTTAAAATGAAGCATGAATCGCTCAATAATGTCTGCTTGTAAGTGTTCACAAATAAAATTATTACATTATTCGCCACAAGGCACTTCAGGGGCTCCTTCAACTATTAAAAATCAACATTGGAAAAATATCTATTACACCATCTGTATAATCTGCTACAATTTCTATCAATCACAATTTTGTCAGTGGCCACTTATTTAAGATCCTTATATGCCAAACCTGAATATCATATGGATTTGTAGAGAAAAAAACATTAAGTATAAAGTTTGCATACCACAAATCCCAGCGCAGCCTGTGTTAGGGATAATCATAAGAATGGTTTTAGTAGTAGAATCTGTGGTTGTGTTCCTCTCGAGTTCTCATTTTGGGGCCATCCCACTTTCCAGGTATCCCATAAGTGTAGGTGTCCGAGTCATTGGCCCACTGGCCAGAGGCACGTGGAGCTTGGTTAGAAGGAATGGGGTTGTCTCTGCTGCCTCTTTGGTTGTAAGAGGAGCAGGACCTCCCCATGGAGTCAGGTGGGGGGGCCCTACTCTCAGCTCTGGGAAGTGGTCCTCGCCACTGGTAATTAGCCTGAGGAGGACTCCAGCGGTAAAAGCCGAAAGGTGCGGCAGTCATGGAGAAGGGAGGTGATGGCAGCAGGCCTGTTCCACCAGGAGGGGGCAATAACCCTGATCCACTACCACCAGGTAATGGTAGTAGGCCGGATGCTAAAGGCAATGGCAAGCCCAAAGACTGGTTTCTGCTTGGAGGGTGGCTGCAGTGGTTCTTTCTCCTTTGACTGAAAACAATATATGGAGAACACATAAACAATAGTAATATTGTATTATTATTTTATAATGTATTACTTTTCCTATTAGTAGGAAACACTACTAACAATTATGACTGATGCTCACCTGTACCTTGAGGGATCATTAGAAACTCCTGGCCTTTCCTTCATGTTGTTGAAATTTGCTTCAGAATCTGCTGGACGATGAGTGGAATTACCTTTAACTAGCTTTAGGTCACATTCCTCAATCCCTTCATTACTGTAAAAAAAGTATGATATGATATATGATTGATATATCAATCATTACACACACAAACATTCATATAGACACACGTATAGATGAATAGACAAATTAAATTGCATGTCACCTCCTCTTGGGTCCTGACAGCAGATCATCTAAATAGTTCTGTCTCTCTATTGCATGGCCTCTTGAAGAATTAAACACTGGATAGAATTGAGTGAATGAGAGTAATGATTTTAAAACTTCTATGCAAGGTATTACCAAGCACTATAACTCACATTCAATGGCCTTAGGAGGATCCAATCCATCCACGTCTATTAGGTATCTACAAATAAGATACCCAGTACGATTCAAGCCATGGGTGCAGTGGACTCCGATCAATTTATCTATCACAGAAAACTATTGTTATGAACATCTCCATTGAGAGTAGAGTTAAATTGAACATACATACCTACATACATACCATTATCTGCATTTTCACATAGAAAACGGCAAACAGCACGCTTAAAACTCAGAATTGTTGCATCACTGGGAATTTCTTGTCCAGCTGTGAAGATCTTGACATACTGCAGGGAGCCTGGGACATCCTTGTAAAAATCACAATTAATATTACCTCCACAACAGAATTACCATATTTGAAGTTCAGCAGTTTGCCTTTACCTCTGGTGTGTAATAGCGTTTAGTGTATGTCAGATCAATTATAAAACCAAGTTCCTGACTGTCCCTTTTCACAGTGTCAAGCAGCTCCCAGGGTCCAAAGACATCAGAACTTGCAAGTTTCCGAGTTAAAGCCTGAAATATTTAAAATATATAATTTGAGAAAAAAACAACAACCACGTTATGAAGAAAAACACATTCTTGAGCGAGATTTATCTCACCAACTTTAGTGGTACTTTAAAAGCAATAAAACGAGATCCTGGAAGGCGTTTCCCCACAGGTTGATAATCTAACCACCTAGAAGTAGAATTGAATGCAGTGTTACACGGCTGCATTTAGCATTTAGCACAGTGCCGTGTTAGCTGCCCTACCTGTCGGGAATGCCGTTTTTCCTGTATCCTCGAGACATTTTCAAACAAAGACTTTCTTTTTTTCCGTTAGCGTTAAACTGTCAAATTGTGAACTAACCACGTGTAGCAAGAGCAGCCAATCTTATCAATATTAAGATAACACGTACATGCAAGTAGGCGAACATAGGGATAAAGTTACGTTTATCAGGCCGTTCAGAATAAAAAATATTCGACAAAGCTATTTCATTGAAAACGAAACTTAAAATCGGCACAAACTTATCTCGGTCAGACAGCTGTTGTTGTTGTTGTTGTCGCATAGATGACGTACAAAAACTTACCTTCTTCGACAAAGCGTGAATATTTCAAAAGGACGAATAGCGCCATCCTGTGACATAATCCACAACTAGAAATCAGTGCCTTTCTTTTTAGAGTTGACTCATGTATATATATATATATATATATATATATATATATATATATATATATATATATATATATATATATATATATATATATATATATATATATATATATATATATATGTGTGTGTGTGTGTGTGTGTGTGTGTGTGTGTGTGTGTGTGTGTGTATATATATATATATATATTTATTTATTATTATTACAGTAACAAAACAACATGACAAAACAGCAACGATAGATACAGTATAGTGGAGTACAGTGGAGATGGGATTGTTGTACAGTTCATATATTGTATATATATGTATATATATATATTCTTAAACAAGTTTAACATACATGTAAACTTAAATTGAGGCACATAATGTCTACAAAAAGAAATCAATACAAAAAAGTGAGAAAGTGCTTAAAAATAAAATTCTAATTCTTTTGTAATATTGAGCGTTTTGATGGATTTAATGCTACAAATATTGTTTAGAGTTTGAAGATAATTCTTGATGTCTAGGATAATGATTTTGGAAAGGGGTCTGGAATTTGAGAATTTGGATTTATGGATATGAAATTTTCCTAACAGAATGACTAAGTTTACTAAATATTAAAATGTATATTGTTTATAATGGAAATGGATTATTATACCCGAGCAATCCAAATGAATTCTGACGGATGTTTTTTCCAGGATAAGTGTCTTTGAATTTGACCAGAGTTCTTTTGAGTATTTACAGTAATAAAACAGATGGGGGATGGTTTCTTCTCCGCTATGGCAAAAGGTGCAATATGTTTCAATTTCCTTGAATTTGGCTACACTTGTCCCATTTCGGCAATGGGCTTGCAGTCCGTGGAGGCCAGTTTGAGGGTTGCAGCTTTTGCGGCCGACAAAGGACCCAGCCTTAGCAGCCTTTGTTGTACATATTGTTTCTTTCAAAACAAAAACTAAAGTGGTGGAGTTTTAAGACTGATCCTCTGTAAGTGCACAGATCTCTCCAATCAAGTGTTCACCTGTCATGTTCAAATCACACAGCCCACCTCACTTACATTGTTCTTCACAAACCTGCACTCTAACTTCTTACAAGAATAAGAGGTGTTATGGGGTGTTTAATACATACTGGTGTCATTTCAGATGCTGTGAGAAAGGTGAAGCCCAGAGCTGGACACTGACAGACTGGATCTTCACCTGGACATGGAGCTGAACAGGAGCCAGCCTCACTGTATGTCTGACTCAGACTGAAGCTAAAGACAGAGACTCTGAAGCTCCCACACTGCACACTCTATAAGAACAACCATCTGTCTAATTGTACTGTGGTGGTAAACACAAGTTAACTTTTAGTTTTAACAATATGGTATGTGGCTACACTCAGTATCATCTGTCCAGGCCTTTACTCATATAGCATGTTTATAAAGCTCTATTTCGTGCTCTTCCAGTGTGACTGAGGTCCTCACTCTGGGAGCACCCAGTCACCCTGCGGAGGAAACTCATTTCGACCGCTTGTATCCACGATCTTGTTCTTTCAGTCATTACCCAGAGCTCATGACCATAGGTAAGGGTAGGAACGTAGATTGATGGTAAATTGAGAGCTCTGCCTTTCAGCTCAGCTCGCTCTTCACCACAACAGTCCGATACAGTGACCGCATCACTGCCGACGCTGCACCGATCCACCTGTCAATCTCACGCTCCATCCTCCCCTCACTTGAGAACAAGATCCCGAGATACTTGAACTCCACCACTTGATGCAAGGACTGTCCACCCACCAGGAGAGGACAAGACACCTTTTTCCAGTTGAGAACCATGGCTTCAGATTTGGAGAGGCTGATCTTTATCCCAGCCGCTTCACACTGCAAACCGCCCCAGTGTACATCGCAGGTCCTGGTTTGATGAAGCCAACAGGACAACATCATCTGCGAACAGCAGAGCTGAGATCCTGTGGTCCTCAAACCGGACCCCCTCCGGCCCCTGACTGCACCAAGAAATTCTGCCCATAAATACAATGAACAGAAACTGTGACAGGGGCGACCCAACATGCACCGGGAACAGGTCTGACTAACTGCCGGCAATGCAAAAACAGCTCCTGGTCTGGTCATACAGGGTCCGGACCCCAGACTCCCAGAGCGCCCTCCACAGGCCACCATGAGGGACACGGTTGAATGCCTTCTCCAGATCCACAAAGCACATGTGGACTGGTTGGGCAAACTCCCATAATCCCTCGAGCACCCGATGGAGAGTGTAGAGCTGGTCCAGTGTTCCATGAACGGTATGAAAACCTCTCCAGTCCATGGCATAGATCTTATCGAGAGGCTGAGGAGTGTGATTCCCCTGTTGTTGGAACACACCCTCCGGTCCCCCTTCTTATACAGAGGAACCAACACCCCGGTCTGTCAGTTCAGAGGCACTGTCCCCGACTGCCACGCAATGTTGAAGAGGCGTGTCAGTCAAGACATCCTCACATCATCCAGAGACTTAAGATATTCATGGATCTCATCCACCCACGGGCTTTATATTATGAATAGGATTTTTTTTGACGGACAAAATAGCAAAAAAAAAAAAAAAATCAGGATCACGTAGAGCGGGTTCATAAAGAAATTTTAAGACCAAAATGGCGCGACTCACTGCAGCAGGTACAGAGAGAGTAGCCACAAGATCCTAATGTAAGTCCATTGGAGCCAGAGTCAGAAGGAGCAGGAAGGACCTCCTGGAGAACTTCCTATTTGGCACACGGCGGCTACAGCGTTAGATCTGTCCACTCGTATATACGGTCTATGGTTGTATGAAAGTGATTATGATAATGATGATTTATAGAAAATGTCTAATTAAAAAGGTTGCGTAATCATATTGTGTCTAAACGTGTTTGTTGACATTTAGCACCCAAATTTTATATTAGCTACCTTTAAACTCTTTGAATTATCTGACCAACTGCATGTGATGTTTATAGTTTGTTCTACCCACATTGTTGATGTATTTCAGCAGGATAATAAAAAAAAAAAAAGTTTTTTGGAGGAACATGGAGTATTACATGCAAATATTACAATGAAATTGCAAAAAAACAACCAAACCGGGTAATTTTTGACCCACTTATTCATCTAAGGGTTAATGTGGGTAGGTCTTACAGCACCAACTAACTAGCACCATTTGTAACTAGCACCATTTGATTCCCTGACCCTGAAATTGTGGGTGTAGCTGTTACAAATCAACATTTCAACTTATTCAGAGGCTGAGATATTCCAAAAAGAGTTTTTGGCGTCCATTTTTTTAAAATTCAATATGGTCGCCATATAGACATCTGGGCAAATGCAAACATTGATTTTCTGACTCCATATACTAAAACCAAAAATATATAGTTTATCAAATCCCCCCAAAATTCCCACTAAGGTCAAAAAATGAATATAAGGAACTGGACTATTAGGACGGGACAGAGCGAGCAGAGAGCATTTATCGTGTTCATCGCTTGCTTATATTTGCTCTCACAGGGTATAGGTGAAGGCCCGGAAGATGTCATGACATGATCCCGCCCATAACTCAATGAAATATGATTGGCTAAAACAACTGTCAATCTCAAACTCACGGGTCTTCACTACAGGAAGGCGAAGGCCTAGGTGTTTCTTTAGTTCAGTGCTGCAGGGGGAGTCACTGATTTACCCAGATACGATTGGAAGAAAAATTGTGATTGGTCCAGTTCCGTTCCATTATATTAACCCTTTGTTTCACAAAAAATATTAGTCCAAGTTTTTAACAATGATCTAGAAATTATTACTAGTGTAGTGTTTATTACTCACTGAATAAAAAATATTGAAAAAATATATTAGTAGTACAAAAATTCTTTCACTGTTTTTTCTTGGGCCTTCACTGAATACCTTGAAGGCCCTGAGGGTTCCCTTCTGCCTGAGTATGAATAAATCATTCTTGAGTCATTCTCGCTGTGTCTCCATCAGAGGAGTTAATCTGTGGAATAGTCTCGATGAAACTTTAAAAGGCTCTAAAACAATTTACACATTTAAAAAAATATATAAAACTAAAATTATAGAAAAATACAGAGAAATTCAATAAATCATATTTTAACCCATCAAACCTACAGATTAACTGCAACCCCCAATTATATTTATATATTTAAGAGTATAATATAAACCAATAGGTATAAAAATTAACATGTACAGGGTCAGTGTGTGTGTGTGTGTGTGGGTGGGTGTGGGTGTGTGTGTATGAACATTAACATATATTTGGATTGTGTTCTGTATTGTGTAAGTGTACGCTATAACATTTAGGACATTTTCTTTCCTGCTCTCATAAAAGAGGATTTTTTTTGTTGTTGTTTTCTGTAAATAGTTCTGCCATCTTGTATCCTATTCTATATGTTAATAGGGTTTGGCAAAACAAGTGTTAAACTTCAGCCTAAACCCCTTCTGTCTACAGAATAACTTTATTTATATGCACTAACTGCATAATATGTTTTGTTTTGTGTTTTTTTGTGTTTTTTTGTTTTGTTTTGTTAAATCATTGTTATATGATGCATGATTATGTTAATTGACCGAAGAAAATAAACTACTACTGCTACTACTACTAGTACACTATTATGGTGTGAAGGTCCTAGGCATTAGCCATTTACCTTAGCTCCACCTGTTAAAAGAGCCACAATTCAGACAAAAATCAAATAATCCAGTCCTTTTACGTGAATTCTAGCATGACAGAAACTCGTATGATTACTATTAGTTCATAAAAAACGTGTGTGTTAGTCTGATCTGATCATTTATGACAGAAATCAAGATTTATCAGAGTTTAGAGGACTTGTGGGAATGTGTCATGTCCTTTTCTCCACATTGCTTAGTCTTGAATGTTCCACCATATACATTCAAAAGTCTTTAACTGCAAAAAAAGAAATAATAATAATTGAAGTGCTTGTGAACATGAATTTTACAGTAATACAAGATCTGACGATTACACAAGACTGGGTATTAAATTGTTTTAGTACCTTATTCTGAATATTATTGTGAAATTGCATAGTGTTCCATCACAAACTATAATGCCAGAGCACCTCCTCTATTTGCAATAGGACTGTTTTATTATGTAGTCACAGAGCCTAAAAGTATCTCTCATACACTTTCACAGGTAGTCAATATGGCACAAGCAATACATATAGACATACTGTACATTATATAGTATGTACAAATAACTTATTTTTTGCTTGTTTCCTTGTTGTTCGTTCTTGCATATGTAACAGGTCATGGGAGGCATTTGGCTAACTGATTGATGGCACTCTTTTTCTGACATTTTCAGTGCCAATCATTACACTTGCTGACAGTCCCAAAACACCAGTGTCTTTCCCAGCTTCTGCAAAGGGGTAAACTTCTCTGGTCATGCGAGATAGCAGACAGGGCATTTCCTTTTTCCCACCATAGACACGACCTTTGGCCTGGAAGGTGTATGCAACTCTGTGGCACAAGCGGGTCATTAATCGGGATAGCTCTAGATTTCGGTTGCCGTCTTCTTCCAGCAGTTTACAAAGTGTTTGGAGAAAGACCGATCCTAGTGGGTGCATAAAAGCAGCGTAACCTAAGGGTAACAGAATGTTAGGGATACTCACAAAAACGCATACAGGAAATGTGTTGGCTTTACCTGGTGCAGTGGCATACATGACGGCTGTGTCTATGGGCACAGATAGATCAGGTGAAAAACTTCCTTCTGTGCTGTCCACTGAGTCTATTGAGTCTACTTCAACACCATCATCAAGACCATTTCCACGACAAGCCTGAAAACAAACAGACGAAGCATAGGTTAATTATGTACAATATGCTATACTATGGACCAAATTTGAGTGAAGAATCTTCTAATTAACATATTAATTTCAATAAAATGATTGTTAGCCACTGTCTATTGACTAAGTGCATTTCCATTTGAACTACTGAAGCAATTAAAATGTTTCATTTCAATATTTTTTGCTGATATAAGATGTTATATATGCCCATGTGTGATATTAGAGTTGTCACAATACTAATATTTTGACAATAAGGAAAAAGGCAATACCACAATATCTTACCAGATAGGCAATATCTTAAAGGCAATATCTTACCAGATACCATAATATTAAACACACACTTTTTATACTAGAGAATTTAATTTTCAACACAAAAAGCATCCACTTGATTTAATATTATCAAGTGGTCCATTCTAAAACTATTCAACAAAGATCCAACTTTCTTTTCTTTATGGGACTTTTCAGAAGCTGTACTTGCTCAGCATTCAGTTTCATTATTGTGATTAGTATTTGGGTATTGATGTAACAACCCTTCAGTATTTGACATTGTGTACCTGAATAAAGAATAGTTTAGCTGTATTCTCCATGCACTTGTTGGCAAAGAATCTGAAGATGTGAGACAGTCTGACAGGTTTTCCATCTGCTCCAAAGACACAACCCTCCTCGCCATGAGATGACAGCACAGCCAGAAAACAGTCCTTCACAGGCCGCTGACTCTCTGCAAAGCCACAGAAACAAAGCCATATCAACTGTAATAATAAAACACATGATGGACAAGCAAGAGGCATTACTTACCAGCCAGGTATAAATCTCGTTTTAAAGATCTTTCTAAAGCTATGGCGCATATTTTATAAATTTTATGACTACAATATATTTTGAGATGTAAAATCAAACATATTAAACCTTATAAATTTGATCAGTATGTAGGGTTGTCTGGTGAAACTAATCCATATTGTTTAAATCCTAAATCCTAAATTGTTTGTCTCTTACAAGTAGCTATTCATTTTGATGAGATAAGCTGTTTGTACAAGAGCTCAAGGGTCATATTAATTTATTAGCTCTCCCCTGCCTTTTAATTTTGACAATAAATTAGCATGCAATGTTGTAATCGAGATAAAGGAACTGAGTCAATATTGACATTTTAGGTTTGATGACTGTTTGTACAGTTTTTAAAAACAAAGAACAAAGATCACAATACTTAATAAATAATACGTAACAAAATACTCAGTGCGTAATATGGAACATGTACATTTATGATAACGTAACTCTTTAAAAATGTATAAATATTTGTATTGTTTTTGTGGTTTAAGACCTCATTCTATCTCATACGCTAACACTGGAACTACATAGAGGAAACATCATCATCATCTTAATTTACCCTATTAATTAAAATATCACAAATCAGTTAATTTCAGTGATTTAACAAAAAGTTCTTCCATTATATCATACTAAAGCGTATATTGTTTCATAGCAGATTTCTGTAGTACCTTTCATGAAGAGTTGGTAGATCTCCTCAGAGCTTAGGTCTGTGTGGATGTCCACCTTGAAGCCCAGTTTGCTGAGAATCCGGTGGAGTTTTTTCTCATCTTTGCTCACTCCAGGCCTCCAGCCCAGGTTCACCCCATAATCAAAGTGTCCCACAGACACTATCAGAGCTCGGTTACACTCTCCTCTAAGCAGCGACATGTTTCTGTCTACAGGTAAGAACACAGTGTACAGTCTGGCTTTTACTGCATGTGACACCATTTATGCACCTCTCTTACCATTTATGGAATTCCTGGGCAGGTTCTCCTGCCATGCTGTCATTTTTACTACACTGATAAGACATCATGACAGGTGACTTCAACAAGTTACAGGTTTTCCAGTAAAGAAAAGTATTGGTACCGTAAGTAACAGGAACTTAAAACAGAACATGTAAGACATGCGTCAGGCTTTCTCTGAATGGCTCCGTCCTGAGTACTGTATACATAATAATAATAATAATAATAATTATTTATATATATATATATGTATATATATATATATATATATATATATATATATATATATATATATATATATATATATATATATATATATATATATATATATATATATATTATTTTTTTATTTATTTATTAATTTTTTTTTAACCTAAGAGGGGGTTTCCTGACTTCTTCCTGATTTGACTTTTTTATTCATGTTGTCCAGAATCTGATACATTTTTGTTCTGTTGAAAATACCATTCTGAAAAGAATCTGCCTGTACACCAAAACCCACAAATTTAAAACAAAAAAAAAGCGATTTAAGCTTCACCTTTGTCATGGGAATTACTGTCTACTGTCTAGGCAGGGTTTGAAATTAGATTTTGCTTTGTGCAGACCTTGTTCACGCTTTTAGAATATAATTACAATAAAAGAGACAGCAGAGACCAAACTACAGGGCCTCAGTTTCACAGCCCAATCTATAGTTTGTACGAACCAGCTTCAGCTTGAATTGGGGGCCATGTTAGTCAGGCGTCTTAGGAAAAATCCACCACCATGGAAAAAACTACTGCATAAATAAAACATTTTTTAAAATGTAATAACCTAATTGCTCTACAATACAATATTATAAACCATATTGAATGAAATTTGCAATTCATGCAAGAGACAGGTTTGATCAATTGCAGAATGTCAAAAATTCGTGCCACTCACTATATCGCCAAGTCTCACATCGCTCTGGATTTTCTGCCAAACTGAACCTGATTCCTGCAATAAAATAGGCCTATTACATAAAGTTTACAGCCGTGGTGTCAAAAGGTTTTTTAAAGAAATGTCGTCACATATTGAAATGGAGGAAATAAAGCAGACGGTCGCAGGTCAGTGATCACTTCAGGGCATATAATAATCTAGAAATTACTTGGGTTGGGCAATACTGACAAAAATGAATATCTAATTTTGTATAGTACCCGAACAATGATATTCACACATTATGAGGCCAATTCAAGTTGTGTTAAAAGTTTTCATTAAATATAAAATTGAGGTTTAAGACGTATGTTGAATAACAGTAGATTATCTAGACAAATCTGTACAAATCAGGCTTTACCTTTAAGTTTACAACCTTCAATTATTAGTGTTTTAAAACTTTTAATCAGCTCTTTTTGCAGCAATTTGTATTATAAATGATGTGCTTAATACTTTGTTTTTCCCAATTCCCAGTGCCCATCTCTACTATACCTGTATGTAATATGTTAATCATGAGATTTCATTGAATACCTTACATTAGAAATACCAACTAATTTGACAAGAGAAAATACATTTTACTTTTGCTTTAGTTTTGTGTGTTGGACATTAATTAACATTGTTCAGTTAAAAATGTCAAACATGTATAGACATCAGGGGCCTTGCTTCTTTCAAATAATTTGTATTACGGAAAAAAGAAACTTGAAAGACAGTCTTACATTGACATAACTGAGTGAATATTAAAAGGAAACATTTCAATAAAACAGGAACATACCAATGAACAAAAGTCAGCTCTACCCAGTGAAAAAAACATGTCAAACAACTGTGCCACAAAACATTTGATCAGAAACAAAATGATTGAGAAAAAAACAGATAGAACCATATAAAGTTTATAAAGAAAGGTTAGAAGTCAAATATTGACCATTATTTGTTATTTTTATACTAATATAAAATGTGAGCTTCTATAAAAACATTTTAAAAGAAAGCATATGTACAGCATTCTGGAGAGGTACAAATAGGGTCCATCTTTATACGATTGTTACTTTTTTCAGAGTTCTTTAAAAGGCCTCACAGCGGATTGGCCCGTCTCAGAGACAAAGGCTGTGTCTGAGGTAAGGCAGAGTGGTGAATGGCAGATTTGGGAGGGATGAGGAAGGGCTGGGAGAGCAGGGTGGGGGTGGTGCTCCTGGACGTTGCCCTGTGGGGGGGTGAGGGCGCCTGGAATGGTGACAAAGAGGGCTCAGAGGTGGACGACGGTGTGGAGGGTCCGGGGGTTCCGCTGGTCCTCAGAGGTTGTGTATTGCTTGTGTGGCTGTGAGATCGAGGAGGTTTGGTAGTGAGGGATAGGGGCTGGAGCTGCTCGGCATATGGAGAGGCATGTGCACTGTATGAGCTGTAGGAGAGGATGTGCTCTGTGTGGGTGGGAGCAGGTGCAGCAGGGGAGGCCAGGGCTGTGGTGGGAGTGGCTGGAGAGTCCAGGGAGGAGGCAGGGCTAGCCTGGGACAGGTGAGTGTGCGTCAGGTGAGACATGGTGTGTGGTTGCGAGTGGTGTGTACGGCTGTGGGTATGTCCCAGGGCACTCTGTGAGACTGACTGATGAGGCTGGGCCACAGGGCTCAGGGTCTCCTCCGAGTCGCTAGGCCCACATTGCCTTTTGGGCTGAGGGGAGAAGTCTTCTGCGGAACCAGCAGAGGGCACTGTGGGAGACAGTACAGACATAGGTAAAATTCAAATAGATCCACCATCACTATGGACCCACAATGAATGATATAACATGGACTTACCTTCAATTTGGGTTTCACTCTTTGCTCTCTTACGCTTTTTTCTTTTACCCTATGAAAACAAATATCTGTGAATATAACAATGCAATTTTATGCTGAATTTTGTTGCATCCCTGATGCACAGTAATAAGCCTGTAGTTGAATAAAGAAATTCTTGGTTGACTAAAGACATGTCCCACTGACTGATTAGTCGAGGGGTCATGGAATTAACTCTCAAAATTATTCTGTATCTGCATGTACCCAAACTGCACTTAGAAGACTACACCTGCACGGGAGTTCAGGCAACAACTATTTATCAGAAAAAAGGAAACAATATATTTCTATGTATAATGTAGATAAACTCCCAAATCTTCAACCAACTCAACTTACATTCTCCCATCTGATGTTGTCGTCCCATACAAGGAGTTATAATCTAAATAAATTGATTAGTCAACTGATGCAGACTCCACTGACCGATTAATCAACTAAGTGACACACAGTGTTTACCTACACAGTAATGACAGTATAAAAAAGAACGTACATAGTTGTCTCTGGCTGACCAGCCTGGGTACAATTTTGAATGAATCAGCCTTTCCTTACGTGCCATTTCATAGTATTTTGATTGTTCTTCTTTGGACAAGGAGTGCCACTGTAAAGACAAGTAAATGTTATGATGTGCAAACCATGTTATAAATTTTACAGTCAAATACAAATAACAACCCATTGAAATATTGATTCAAATGATTCACCCTTTGTCCAAGTATCTGGTTGATGGTGGCACTCTCCTTCACTTGGCACTGAGCCACCACTTTGGGCCTTTCGTCCCTCATGTACAACATAAAAGCATTAAGAGGTTTTTTAATATGAGGCTTCTTCTCATCTTCCTTGTCTGCCTGAAGCTCAACTGAAGGTTTCCTGTAAAAAAAATAAAAATAAAAAGAATAAATAAAATAATGAATGAATGAATAAATAAATAAAGAAATAAATGATAAGACACTTGTCCAGAATTATTCATGAATAATTAAGTGTTAGAAAAACAATGTGCACCCTTGCTGGCTGCAGACTCCAGGCTCCTGCTTCACAGTTGGGACAATGGCCGGGTGTGGGATGGACGACTGTGGTGTAGGGACCAAACGTGGAGGAAAGCTGCCAGACACCAGACTGCAAAAAAATAGAAGTTATAACCATGTCATATAAGAGCACATGAAAATTAAACAAGGCACCAGACAACTTACCCTGACATAGAGGCATTCATAGCAAGGGCCGCAGGTGAGAAACTACCAGCTCCAAGAGGATACACGGGCTGCCCAGGCCTTAGGGACAAGTAAGAAATTATTATTATTAATATTGTTAAATGAATTATTTATTGATTTATTCATTTCTATCTATCTCTGCATATTTTACTTACAGCCATCCAAGAGGGTGTGGGATCTGAGCCATTCCGCCTGGTGACATAGGGTAACATGGTGTTCGTGAAAGTCCTGCAGAAGTAGTAAGTAAAAGTAATAACAACTGCAGTGATTTTAGAGGTTAATTTCATTTTTCATAATTTCATTTCCTGATAGAGGTGGTTACCTGCATCAGGAGAGAAGCCGGGGGAGGCCCTCTGAGGGGAGAAGGCCTCTGGACTATAAGAGAGCAGTGGATGCAGATGTGGCATGTGAGGATGTTGCACCACAGGCACATTATTTGACTGCACAGGACAAACACAAAGATTATTCCAGTAGCCATATTTATCCAGTAGGTGGCAGGTTAATACACTTAATACAAGAAAGCTCATACAACAATATTTATTTTAATCTGAACAATCTGAGATTTAAGCACCAATAAAACCATAATCAGAAATATTTTTAATGTATAGTCAAAACTGTCTCTAGCTCTCTTAACTGAAGTTTCTGAACAATAGTTCTTACCAAGTGAGTGGGAGTTGCAGAGTCTCTAATTGTGGCTCTTCCAGGAACATCAAGCAAAGGCCACTGGAACGGCAGATACTGTGGAGATAATAACAACAGTCAATCTTTTATCTACTTTCTGTTTTTGTCAACTACACATGAAGAGATTTTATTTTATTAAATTTTTTTAAATAATCAGTACAATAATACAATAATAATCAGACTTTTGCACTCTTTAGCGAATCAACTATAGGCCTTGAAGCTCCAGAAGCTGAGGCAGATATTTAGTTTGGGGGGGACCATCAGACTAAAGTAAACAACCTTCCTAGGAAACCTGCATTTGTCAAAATAATTGCTATAATNTCTGACTAATCTTGAACTTGAACCCGTGAACCCTGACCTCGTGGAGCA